CGACCCAATTAAAAAATATTCGATTTCGACAAAATTCAGTTCTATTAGTCGTATCAACTCATGTATCTTTGAAAGACACCAAACATATTTATGAAATGAAGATAACAGAACAATCATACTGATTAATGATAAAGTTTTTGTTTTGTTTTTTTTTGGAGCCATGTGCATATGTAGCATAAAATATATATATATTCACAAATTATGTATGGATTTTTGTAATAAGCAAAAGACAAACTAAAACAGCTACGCATGATACTATCCAATTAATGTTTTAAAATTACAAATATTCCCCATTCTGCCGTATGTTACTCTATAATAATTGTCGCAATCAAAGTAAGTCAAGCGCTAATTCAAAATCCTGTTTTATCTAGAGACTGCAAGAAACGAGTTGTAACTTGTTACTCCCTAATATTAGTCATCTATTGTAGTAATTATGTATCAGAATTGTTGGCTATCTCTTAATATGCGACCTGGACTAACATTTTGCTGCGGTTATTTACTGGAAACGTTTACGTCGTTTGCTATGTTAATAATAAAACTAATCCCACACGTCAGATAAGCTGAGATAATAAGAGCAGAAAATGTCAGTACGTCTGCTAATACGGTAAACAAGAAAATGTAATTTAATAAAAATAGACAGTTATCTTCACTAGCGATTTGCCAATTTTCCGCTCATTCGGCAAGGGACCTTTTCCGTCAAGACGGCGTGGATAAAACCAGATTAGGTTTTCTTAATGGTGGGGGGAAAAGTGGTACTAAGAAGAAGAAGAGTGGGAGGAGGTGGGGGTGACACTGCGGGCACAGAATTTGGTTACGTTTGTCACCCGAAATGTCGCAAACAAACTCCAACCTGCCGCTTGAGGGCGGTATTTTATTTTTTTTTAATTTTCTTTCTTGACTCCAATTTATCTGGATTGATTTTTGTTGTTCCAGAAAAGATCGAAAAGGAGGGAATCAACAGAAGAAAGCTCTTACACAAGATTAAGAAAAAGAAAAGAAAAACTAACGACACGTAATCGAACTTAGATTAGTAAACTGTGCTTCTCTCCCTCTGTTTCAGTCCTGTCATTTGTACCGTAGATTCTGCCATAGTGGACTGTCTTGTTACCAACGTATCAACTTTTCCCAGACTTACACAGTATGGCTTTTAGTGAGAAAGTCACTTAGGATTTCTCCATAGCAACGCTTGATGGTAAGTTTTTTTTTTTTTAGTAGATAGTGACAAATAATTGAAAGTTTTTTTCTTCTTTTAAATCAGGGAAAAAATCTTCTTAACCAGGTGCTTTACTTTTTGCTGTTGTTAACCATTAAAGCATGCTAATAAGTTAAGCTCTTGTTAGAAACTTTGCTCATCATGGGATTAAACCTTTACATCTCTTTTAGAATATATTTTAACCGTTATCACTTTGTGAGATTGAACATACAAAAATAATTTGGGATAGAAGAGCGATATTTTGTTTGGTTATTTCTTTTTAAGCACAAAGAAACAGAATGGGTTATGTGTGCGCTACCTGATACGGGTATCGAAACCCGATTTTTAGCGTTATGATTGTTCGTTTTGAATTTTGCGCAAAGCTACAAGGGCTATCTGTGCTAGCCGTCCCTAATTTAGCAGTGTAAGTCTTGGGCTACTCTTTTACCAACGAATAGTGGGATTGACCGTCACATTATAACGGCTGAAAGGGCGAGCATGTTTGTGGGACGGGGATGCGAACCCGCAGATTGCGAGTCGAGCGTCCTACCCACCTGGCCATGCCGGGCCCTTAGCGTTATGAACCCTCGGATTTACTGTCGTGCCACCGGAGGGGGAGAGGCAAGGAAGATACAATCGAGACCACCCGACAAGTATGAAAGTTATGGGTATACGTGATTCTATATTAACTACTCTTTTTTTTTTCACTTTTGCATAAAATGTAAACCACACATACAGTAATTCACTGCCCCACCCCCGATGGCTCCATGATAAGACCGAGGGCTTATAGTGCTAAAAATCGGGTTTTGATACCTGCGATGGGCACAGCTCAGGTAGCACGTTGTGTAATTTTATGCTTATAAACAAACAAAGCAACTTATTGTAACTGGATATTGAAATGGTGGAATAACCTGGCTTTTTTTTTACTCATCTTGAATCTCTAGTCAATGTTTATATAATACTCAAAATACCATTGTCAAAGATCACTTTTTCCTTGAAAACTTATTAACTCACAGAAACGTCTTTGTCATCAGCAAATACGTCACGTGGTTTTATTTGCTGTTATGGACCATATATCTACACTGCCATTACATATCCAGAGACACTAGAACAAAATCCATACTCTGGTCGACAGGTTAGCATGAAAACCCATTATAACAGAATAATTCAATGTCGTCACATTAATGTAAAATTTATTGTTCCCACCTGTGATTGGACATTGGCTCCAAGTGAGGATACGGACTGGTAGGATTCACCACCGTTCATGCTCATGTTATACATTCCGTCACTAGGTGGCACTGCTCCAGGTGGTGGAGGTGGACTGATCATTTGTCCTTGGCTTGATGGCACCATACTGTATGCAGCAGCGCCACCTACAGATACTTAAAATGTTTACAATGTGTTACAACTATGTATTAACGAACAGTAAATAAGATTAGCAACAAGCTTACTAAAATACATCACTAGGTTGTAGGAATTTCACTTAACATCCATGAAGTTCGATGTGTAGGAAAAATAAATAGATCATACTAAGAAAAAAAAGGCTTAGAGACTAATGACACATTAACAAGGGCCACATACGTTTAACAATTTAATGCCTGTCTTAGCTGCTCATTAAGGATTATTGCCATTCAAGCGTAACATTACAATTAGTGTTGCTTGAGTGAAAAAAGAAGTGGCGTTAATCAAGACAACTACGAAATTTTTCGTTCAAATGCTTATGATGACTTAGAAGTGTTCTAGCCATTACATTATGTTATTATAGCTGTAAATCTGTATATTTCTCTCTTTTTTTTTCATCCTAATTATATGTTCATCTATGATATATCAACCTTATTCAATGTTTCATTGGAGTTGCGACCAGTCGCGTGTTCGAAAATCATAGTTTTATGCCAATACATCAGTTCCTGCTAGTTGCCATATTTTGTCCGCCCTCAAGTTACAGTCTATACAAAAAAAAAAAGTTTCAATGAAGTTCAAACTTATCTTTTTTTTTTAGCTGGAGATAAACTTCAACCGGATCAAATTATCAAAGTCAATCGAAAAAAAAAAGGTTTCAATTAAATCCAAATTTATCTTTTTTTTTTAGCTGGAGATAAACTTCAACCGGATCAAATTATCAAAGTCTATCGAAAAAAAAAAAAAAGGTTTCAATTAAGTCCAAATTTATCTTCTTTTTTGTTTTTTAGCTGGAGATAAACTTCAACCGGATCAAATTATCAAAGTCAACCGAAAATTGTGTATCTGTGTTCTCCCTTTCTTTGCTTAAAATAAACATTTGAAAATGAGTTGATCCCGCTGGGTAGGATTTAATACACTGATAAACTTTAAATATCAACCTAGTCACAGCTGAAAGCTAGTAAAAACTGTCAAAAATATATTTATGAACCCCCTGTAGATATTTTTTTAGTCATTTTATTTTCTTTCTTTTTTAAGAGAAAAAATCGTTTTAATTGTCTTCAACATTACTGAAAGTCCCTTTTCTAAGTCATTCAAGGTTGTTACAAATGACGATGTAATATGTAGACGTTATTATTATTATTTTTATTCTTATAAAGTAACGAATGATGAATAACCACGTAAGAAATTAGCAGTCATTAAAACGACTCATGAGCAAAAAAAGCCATTAATAGAAATGGAATATCTCAAGTTTAAAGAATTGGTTAATTACCAGTAGCACGAAACAGTACTATAATTCCTATAGTGTCACATATCCTCGTTTTTCGTACAAAAGAAGTCAAACATATTAATAGTACTCTTCAACTTTGTCAAATATCTTCATAGGCTGTCTTTCGAAACGACTATAAGTTATAATTATTCACAGGCATACATTTAAAAGTTTACCTACACGATCTGCAGATGTGTGACACTTAAAGTGTTTACCTACCCAAGCCTTATACATGCGGCATTTAAGTGTTTACCACCCCAAGCCTCGAACATGCGACACTTAGGAGTTTAAGTAAACAAAACGCAGACATGTGACACTCGGGAGATTACCACCCCAAGCCTCAGACATGCGACACTTAGGAATTTACCTACACAAACCACAGACATGTGAAACTTAGGAGTTGATCACAAACAGTAGACATTCGACACTTAAAGAATTTACCTCCCGAAACCTCAGACATACGACACTTAGGAGTTTATCTAAACAAAACGCAGACATGTAACACTTAGGAGATTACCTCCCCAAACCTCAGACGTGCGACACTTGGGAGTTTATCTAAACAAAACGCAGACATGTGACACTTAGGAGATTACCTCCCCAAACCTCAGACGTGCGACACTTGGGAGTTTATCTAAACAAAACGCAGACATTCCTTGCTCGTATTCATAATTTTCGATTGTTTTGAGTGATTTATACATCGATTGTTTTGAGTGATTTATACATCGATTATTTTGAGTAATTTATACATCGATTGTTTGAGTGATTTATACATCGATTGT